GTTGTAAAATACGTTTTATCTTTTAAAGAACATGGCACTGAACGTTTCGAGAGACTCGCTGTTATAGGTAAACTGACTGATAGTGCCCGTTGCCGTAAACTGACTGATAGTTCAAGTTGCTTTGATGACCTCGTAGTTGTAGAGGCACGGATTTTGCTATTGCTGCTAGCAGCCGCTGTGACATTTGTAATAATTCAAGAGGGAGCGACACATCATTTTAGTGTTCTGCGGATGGGTAATTTATTTTTAGTGAGTTTTAATGCAAAAGTCTAAAAGAAGAGTGCAGTGCCCTGTCACTGAAGGTTGCTAATAATAAAAAGGAGATGAACGTGAAAAATAATATCAACGTATTTACAGACGGCTGACATGTTTAAAAACTAATATTTTACCCTACAAAGAGGCGTAGATACAGCCAGTGCAACTCTGGCGCAAATTGTGTCATCGTAATTCACGTGAGAGAACAAATTTTAAAAAAAACATTATTAATTGGCTATTTTTTATACGAAATATGTATTACCATGGAACAATCAATCGCCAGTCACTCTGTAACGCGCTCTGTATGCGTTGGGTGCAATGGCGGTGCCAGAGCATTGTGAACTCCTCGCCAGAGCGGAACGTATCATGGATTTAATTTAAAGCCGTGTCTGTGACAAGTGCCTATTCAGAAAATGTAATAATTTGCCTTATCTAAAATGGACTGTCACGTTTTCTTACCCAAGAGAAAAAAAAGATGTGCAGGAGATGTGTGTGGGGAGATGAAAAATATGCGAACCTTGCAAAATGGAAAAAAGAAGGCTTTCTAAATATTTTTGTGAAAAAATAAAATATATATTTGTTTAGAACGTGACAATATAATTTGTGGAAATTTAATATAATATTATTAAATAGGTCCGATCCGGTGGCCGAGATCGCTAAGGCAGTAGTGCCGTAGCGATCTCGTACCGAAAGATCGCGGGTTTGAGTCCCGCCTCGGGCGTGGTTGTCTTGTGTTCGTCCTTTCACCCCTATCATCATCATCATCCATCTCTCATTATCACCTTTTTGAATAACATTCAGAATTGTAACTCGAGAATTTATCCTCACCTCAAGGTGAAAACCTTCGACAGTCGACCAAAGTTAAGTGGAACGACTCACGTGGTCCAATGTGGCCAATCAAGTTAAAAAAAATATTAAATAGGATAATAAAATATCTAATGTCTTTTTCGTGTACTTTGTCAATTTTTACCTTTCTTATCAGATGTACAAGCTGAACAAAGTACGTATTTCAGTAAGTAGTCCTTCAGAGTATCCTCATTCATAAACAACTAAAGCTGCATCTGAAAGATGCATTGTGGGCTCTGCCGCCAGTCTACGAATAGCGGGCGCTCCCGGAGTAAGAGGGTGTTGACACCGGGAGTGCTCGACAGGTAGGCCCACATTATCCTCGCCCGACATGGATGCAAAGGACTTTAAATTTTGACTAACAACCTTTAGCGAGACACTATATGTGGCAATGTAGGTCGCCAGTGGGACATGCTGTATATAAGACTTTGCCTCCGAGGCCTAATTTCCTTGTGTTGCTTCTCTTTGCAAACAGCGGCATGCCCGTGAGTAACGCGTGGCGAGTGTGTGTTGCAGAGACTCCACTATGTCCGGATGCAAGGAACATTTTCTTTTGAGTAATACCTTTTCGCGGGCCACAGCAAATGGCAACGTAGGCCGCCAGTTGAACAAGCCAGTTATAAGATTTCGCCTCCGGGGCGTAATTTCGTTGTGTGCTTCTCTTTGGAAAACAGTGGCAAGTGGGCATGAGTAACGCTTGGTGTGTGTGTGTGTGTGTGTGTGTGTGTGCGTGTGTATGTTGCAGAGACTCTACTATGGCTAGACGCAAGGGACTTTCAGTTTTGATTAACAACCTTGAGCGGGCCACAATAAATGGCAACGCAGGTCGCCAGTTGGACAAGCCAGATTAAGGCTTTACATCCGGGGCCCAATTTCTTTGCATACCTTCTCTTTGCAAACAGTGGCAAGCGCGCGTGGGTAACGCTTGGCGTGTCTGTATTCCAGAGAATCTCCAATGATGCAAGGGACATTCTCTTTTGATTAACAACCTTTCTCTGGCCACAATAAGTTGCAACGTAGGCCGCCAGTTGGACAGACTTTGCCTCCGGGGACCAATTTCATTGCGTTGATTCTCATTGCAAACAGTGGCAAGAGCAAGTGTGTAGCGCGTGGCGTGTGTGTGTGTGTGTTGCAGAGACCCCACTGTGGATGGATGCAAGGGACTTTCTCTTTTGAACAACCTTTCTCTGGCCACAATAATGGCAACGTAGGCCGCCAGTTGGACAAACCAGATATGAGACTTCGCCTCCGGGGTCCCATTTCTTTGCGTAGCTTCCATTCAGTGGCAAGCGCGAGTGTGTAACGCGTGGCGTGTGTGTGTTGCAGAGACCCCACTATGGCTGCTGCTGCAGATTGCGCCCATCAAGAACGAGCGCGACCTGGTGGTGCTGTTCCTGCTCACCTTCAGGGACATCACCGCCCTCAAGCAGCCCATCGAGTCGGACGACTCAAAGGGCGGTGAGTTACGCCCTTCGATTGATCGACATACACTCTGCTGTCATCTGTAGCCCCGTTAGATTAGTGCATGTTTATTACCTTCCCGGCTGCATAGCGGTGCTCTATCGGACATTCTGTGTCTAACTGTTTCATCTGCGACTGCGGGAGATAACTCCAGTTGCTACTGGTTGCACGAGGTGTACTTTTAGGCTGCTAACTGGTAAACAATTTTTCTTTGTTTAAGACACTGAGGCACTGGAGTCAGCTGTGGACCAAAGAACGGTTTAGGCGTCACCCGTCAGAGCGCGGGTAACCATGTTGAGTTGACGTTTATCCCTTCCTAGTTTTTATTAAAATTAAAAGGATGTTTAAGTATCTCAATGTCCTCAGGTGTCGAGGGTATGTTTTATACGGGATAAAATATCAACATCTTCAAATCTGATGTCGTGTTCACGAGCGGAAAAAGCCTGTTCGGCCTCTGCAGACTTCTGAGTTTGGCCAAAATGACAGTTCCTTTTATGTATGTTCAGAAAGACGGGAAAGAGGAAATGTTTACCAGTTAGCTGTCTGAAAGGACACTGCGTATATCAGTAGCCACTGAAGTTGTCTACTGCAGTCGCAGGATGAAACGTTTGGGCGCTGAATCTCCAAAAGGCCACGTCTATCTAGTCCGGAAGATATTATTAATAGCCGTATCATTAATATCCAGCCGTGAAAGCCTAGATTGTTTTGTTAGTGCATGTAAGTTAAGTGTCAGTCACCTGGGGGAGAAGTGAATTCTTTCTCTAAAGTTCCAGAAAATTCTAAGTGGACTGTAAAAAAAGGGGAGGGTTTGGCGTTAATGTCTTATAAAGCTAGGTTTGGAAAGTTTTAATGGAGGCGATCTTTCTATATTATTCTGGAAGAATTCTAGAAACAGTATGCTTTGAGGTTTCAAGGCATCTTCAAAGATGAAATGTTTAAAACAACTAGTAAACTTTCACCATAACATCTATCTTTAGGAGGAGGATTAATAAGATTTGCAATATTTTTTCTTAATTATGCAATGAAACTTTCTCATTAAAGTACTTCTACCGATATTTTTTATGGAACTCAGTTACAAAGCTAGGGCAGAATTCAAAGGATAACTGATCTAGAAATTGTTTTTCTATTTTTTTCGATCTTCCATTCAGAAAAAAACACAATATACGTGTTGTCTACATGATAGTACATCCGAGGGGTGTCACGTTAAACTAGTGAGGAATATCTTAGGTACTCACCGAATTTTGTTTGTGTGGTATTTTTTTGAAAACCACTCTAGATCCCTATCCTATAATTGATATTGCGACTACAGAATGTTCATAATTTATGTTACCAATTTGTAGGGTTTATAGGGGATCAAAGATGATTTCTTTTCGCCAATTAACCCCCGTACCATATCTGCTGTTCACAAACAAGTATTATACCTTGAGTATTTTTGGAACCCAAGTTTTACTACCATCTATAAGTGGTAAACAAGTGTGTATACGGCAATATACTGAGTATAAATAAATGATTTTATGTAAGGGCGCATTTTATAAGTTATTTTTAATTACGTAATAAATATAATTTACCCATATTAAATATTTCATAAATGGAATCATCTCTACCGAACGTATCCTCCATGCATACATAATGCATCAAAATATTTATAAGAGTTTATAAAAGCTTTTTAGAGATGAATTACATATTGGGAGTATCAGACACCTTTTTTTAAGTTCATGACCATATATTTCAAATACAAATGGGAATATAATAAAGGTTAATTTACATATACGTTAGGTCAAATTGGTCTCATTTAACAAAAACAATAACTCTTTAATAAAATTTGTAAAGTATGTGAAAATGGTTTGTGCTAGCTTAATACGTGCACGAACGCGTATCTAGAAGACTGCAACTATCCTCCAAATATTCAGGAAAATATTAACAAATTAAAGAAGATGGGGTCCAAAAAGACCCAAGATATGGTACAAGGTTTAACAAGAATGAAATCTCACATAGCAAACCTGCATTTGTGAGATTTGTCTCTTATGACCACATATCATGTACAATGTTTGGTGTGCTTATTAAGAGTGCCTGCCCAACACCAATGCAAGATGAATTGCCTCCAATGAGACGCAAATGTCACGTGTGCGAAACTGTTATTATGGGATTTTCCGCCACACATTGGCCAAAAACTCATCTTTGACCTCTGTGCACGTGGTAGAAACGTGTAACTTTTCCTCTGATGCATGACTGCAACCTGCATAGGCAAGTTTTCCGCCAGCCTTTAGTTGTTAAAATGTGAGTTTTGGTAATCAAGTATGAATGCCGAAAGACTCGTGTGCTACTGACTTGATATGGAGCTCAGGAACTAATTTAGTTTTCTGTATGATGTCTCAACATTAATGTAACACTCGTCCAGATCATGTAAAAGGGCCAAAAAAGATAACTTTTCGCCAGTTAACATCTACTGGGGAACTGAATATAACGGAGTTATAAGCGTTTTTATATTAGGCATTTGCCCCTAATTTTGAGGCAATCCTCTATTGACATGTGTTCGGCTGGTACGTTAAATCTCTTTGACTGCATGAGATCAACACCTGCCGAACACACGTGCGTAAATAGTTGCCTTAAAATCAGGGGCAGGTGTACATTTGCATTGAATGTATTAAACGCAATTTCCCACAGTCTGTTCATATACGTGAAGGTTACTAACCAATTTACTTTTTCAGTGTCTCAAAATTAATGTTACAAACGTCTAGAGCATTAAAAGTAATCGAAAATGGCCACTTTTCTCTGCCTTTGAACATATAGTGAGTAATTTCACCTAATGGAATTATAAGCATTTATATATTTACTTGGCTGTCCGGGTGACGCCGCGTCCATGGCGAAGGTGCCGACGTTTCGGTCGCCATTCTGCGACCTTCCTCAGGGCGTAATGCCGGAAAGGCGCAGAATGGCAACCAAAACGTCGGCACCTTTGCCATATAGACGCGGCGTCATCCATATAGCCAAGTAAATACTGACTGCGTCCCGTCAGCCTACGCATCCAGCATTTATATATTTGGCATTTGTCCCTAATTTTTAGCAACCCAGAATGGACAGATCTTCGGCCGGTACACTAAACATCCTTGACTGTGCCAGATCGACCCCTGCCAAATATCTGTATAGAAATAAGTTGTCTCAGGTCCAAATTGCAATGCAAAATTACATATACCTTTATTACGTGCAATTTCCCACTATACATTTAATCCTCTCTTCAATATGCCCCAGAAGTTTGCAACCCTTATTTGCCATTGCAAATAAGTTTTCAATAACTCGGAAAAGAAAATGTAGAGTATTTCAAATGTTGCTAATCTCGCGCTCTCTTATTTTTTATTTATTTAACATGTACTCATCTTTTAACTATTAATAGTTAAAATGATGGGAAGGGATTCAGGAACTCAAGAAAACGTGCTCAGATGATCTTCTCCCCCATACGTCACATACAGTTCTTACTGTTTTTTGACTAAATAAATCTTAATCTTTATTCTGCGATATCTGCATACTGAGCGCGGTAGGCTTTCTGACAGCCTCCTGGCTGTTCGGGGGAGGGGGTGAGTCGTGGTGAGCGGCGGTGACGCGCGCTTGTGTGCGCAGGGCTGTCCAAGTTCGCCAAGCTGGCGCGGTCGGTGACGCGCTCCCGGTCGGTGCTGGTGTCGCAGTTCTCGTCGCACCTGCCCAACCTCAAGGACACCACCAAGCAGTCCCACCTGGCGCACGTAAGTAGCATCTCACACACTAGTGCAGTCGACCCCATACCAGATCCACGTCAAAACGAACTCAAAAAGTCGATTTAATGGAAATTCAATTTATCAAAAGTTCGTTTTATGGACTATTCGATTTATCGGAATAAAATCGATTTCCCACAAATTCGATTTATGAAGTATTTGATTTGTCAAAATGAATTTGATTTACCAAAAACGTCGATTTATAAAGTATTTTATTTATCGAAATGAATTCGATTTTCAAAAAAATCTATTTATGAAGTATTTGATTTATAGAAATGAATTCAACTTACGAAATGATTTCGATACTCGTATTTATTTATTTTTGTTCAATAAACAACTCAACTGGACAAAAATTTGATTTGAGAAAAAATGGACTAACGGAAATTTATATTTACCAGTTGTTTGAAATACAGTAGTGTGTCAATAATTCGAACGTGCAAAAGACGGGCCGTCAATAATTAGGATTACACTGCGGCAAAAAGAAATTGCATTTAGTAAATTCTGTATATGCGTAATTATTGGTTTAAAAGCATCGACACGACTTAAAGTATTTATTAAAACTATCGATTGCTGAAAATTATTAAATATATACAAATAATTCATAAAATACGTTATAAATAATATAATTTAAATTATGTGACATTATATAACAATCAGTTTATAGTTGTGTCAATTAATATAAAATAGTGAATCAGGGTAAAATTGGCTTCAGAGGAATTTTCCAAAAACATCACCTTAATTTTTATTCATCCGCTTCACCTCATCAGCGTGAATTATGGACGAATCTATAAAGAATTTTTACCCTGATAATGTACATTTTTCTAAATTTCGGAAATCCGGACATGATATATTCCCTCGTTTGAATATTTTTGAAGCCATGACATAAGTGAAAAGGTGGAGCATACACGCAATTTTCCAATTCAGTAGATGCAGTCTGAACGATTATTATTGTAATCGATCGTTGTATCTCAAGGTGTAAATTTCGCTTGGAAGGCAATGGATGTGTTTTGTTCCTCTGCGAAACATATTCAAACTCGTAATCTCTTTGTGTTCTTTCAAAGAACGAAGAGTGTGGGTAGTGGCTGAAAAGAAAATAATTCAGGCAGAAATGGCACGCCACTCCAGAATATGCAAAAAGGACTTGCAAGAACATTGCACTATTGAGGAGTGATATCGTTTGGGCCCACATGCATTTGCCATCTACGTGCGCATTCCATGAAAGAAAATTATTATAAGTACTTCGAAGAAAATATCCAGCTTTGATAGTTAATGGGAGACTAAACAATTTACTCATTTCAAAAATACGACGTGAATTGTGACATGATACTTGAAAAGTGAAAACATGAATCATACCACGTGAAAATTCCCACATTTTGTGTGAATATTTTATCCAAAAATTTATTTATTGCACAGGTTTTTTCCCAATTTTTTCTAGCTATTCTAATATGTTAGTTTGTCTACAGCCTCTGTATCTGCCTGAGCACTGTCTGCCTTTCACCCTTTCCTTTGCTGAAGTCAGGCACTGAGCGAAAAGACCGTATGTGCTGAGAAATCGTAGTCAGGAAGCCCTTTAAATACATCTAAAAACCATCTCACAACACAAAATTCGCATGCAAATATTTGCGCATTTACAAACTATTGCATTTGATTGCTTTAACAATAGCAATTTTTTAATAACAATTAACATATATTATTGTTAAAATTGCATTTTTCGTGCGGAAACGTTTTGTTAACGTTGTATATGTTGCGGATAATGTGTTCTGATACAAAATTTGTGATCTTAAACACACCACAAAAATTCAGTTCTAGCATCTCCTCTTCCACTACCACAACATCTCCTCGTCCACTTTAGCACTAACACCCCACCATATTCATCATCATTATGACTGTCTCCAGCAGCGTCACCCATACCTCACCATAGCCACCCTCACTACCACATTACAAGAGTATCGTCACTTACCCGTGCATCTTCACTAGCGCCATCGGCTGTTTCTCTACCTCAGCCTATCAACAGACCACAACTCTCAATAGATCCATCACCACTAACATCACGTACATCCCCACCTTATTTACCTCCACCAGGTGGAAGAGGTCTCCATCGTTCCTACCCCTTCTCCCCTGCTTCCTTCCCCAACTGCCCGCTCCTTATCAATCACCACCACAATCCCAACTTCTCCATCGCCCCCTTAAACACCAAACAAGGATAATCTGAAACACCTGATCCACAGTAACCTTCATTACCACCAACACTTCTTCTCCCCTCTGCTCTGTCACCACCATCAGCAACTTTCGCCATCACCACCACCACTAGTGTCAACACCCTCGCCAACCACAACACCAGCGCCAACACCTGTTCCTTCTTTCTGCTTACCATCACCTACATCATCTCATTTTCTTTCTGCTCAACCATCATCAGCAACTTACACGAACACCAATCTTCACCGCCACTATCACCAACATCAACACTGGTTCTAACGCTAACACCAACATCTTCTCCCCCTCTTTGTACTCTTCCACCAACATCAGCAACCTTCACCACCACCAACGTCTGTTCCTTCTTTCCGCTCACCATCACCTCCTACATCATCTCATTTCCTTTCTGCTCAACCACCATCAGCAACCTACACCACCACCAAACTTCACCACCACTATCACCAACATCAACACTGATTCTAACACTAACACCAACATCTTCTCCCCCTCTTTGTACTCTTCCACCAACATCAGCAGTCTTAACCACCACGAAAACCAACACCATCTCCCCTTCTTTCTTCTGTACAACCAACATTAGGAACCTTCACCCTAATCTAGATCTTTACCAAGACAAAGACAATTTTCTCCTCTTTCTATCACCAATATCCACCACAAACACTATCTCCTGCTCCTTCTCTTTCCTCTCCTGACAACATGAGCAACAACTTGTAATTTCATCCCTACAAGTGTGCCAGCCGCCCCCCTTCCTAGTCCCACCTAGTCCGGAAGTTGAGTCTGACCGAACTCCAGCTTGCCAGTCCCCCTCACACATCGTATATATTAATGCAACCCCCAGTTAATTAGTTGAGTGTATTCCGGCCGCCCTTCCTGTCCCTTTATGGAGTTGCGAAAGCGGCGTTCTAGTTTGACTCCCGCCTTTCACAAGGGCCGATAATAGCTCCGCAACCACGAAGCGACCGTAGGCGATAAAGCACACGCGGTATTCTATCGCAATGCATGCACTGGTAAATATTCAGTTCTCTTCCTTTTTCCTCCTTGACATAGGAACCTGACTTGGAATTCACAAGACGTAACGAGAAAGGTTTGTAATATTTCATGTAACTTCGGTGTTATTTTGTCGTAAATATGCGAATTGAGGGGTCGTAATATGGAAAAAATATTATAAACACTATCTTGTTCCTTTGTGTAGTAAATTACTTTCTCTAACACTTTGTTCGCTCCAAATGCACCCCATTTTGTGGGTCCTTTATGCCGAAAATTGATTTACAACAAAACATCTTTCCATCAGTCGTTCTTTGATTGATTCTCCAATATATTCCCAATATTTTACAGAAATAATATTTCCTAATTGAACTAGCAGAACTTCACTCCCTGCGAATTTAAAAACGATAGTTTCATTTTAAAGGTATTTTACAAAACGCTTTACAGTATTTTAAAACACTTTCTCAAAAAGTTTCAAGTTCATGCATTAAATCGTATCCTCAAATTGAACAAAGAAAGCATAAAAAATAGGGTAAGTTTCATTTACACCAAACTGTTTGTATTTTCAAAAATTGCAAAAACTAAAACTTGAATAAAATACAATATTGAAGATAGATATTTGTAATTATAATAAAATGAGTCCTAAAAAATAAATTTTGAAATACGATAATGTGTAAATGTTTTCAAAGAAAATGAGTAATTCCGTTTTAGATGACTTTTTCTGTAACGTGCATTTCGTAAGATCCCCAACCACAAAGATTGCTTTCTGCTCTAAAGTAGATTTTATTTGAGACTGTCTGGAAAGTAGCTCATTTTGTAATGTTTTACGGCAAGAAACTTGTACATTACAAGACGAATCTGAAACAAGCGTCCTGTAATAAATTTTTCCTGACTGCACTGTCACCAAATAATCACGATGAGACTGCTGCCCACAAAGAACCAAGAAGCCTTGCAGTATATTAAAAGTTCGTGACTTACGTGTTGGTTAACCTGTAATAGATATAGTTTGTCACTGCATACAGACCTTTTTAATTGTGACGCAAGCAACGCATTCATCTATCTAAGAAACAAACTATTATTAGTAAGCTACATAACATAGGTTCAATGTCAAAATATATTGAGTTTGCTTTCATTATATTCAAAACATGCACTTATCCATTGATATTTTGTTTGGAACTACTTGTATTTACGTTAATTTTAATTGAACAATCTATTAAAGAACTGTTTGACGGTACTTTATATTAATTTTACGAAATAATGGGACTTCTTGTTTACACTTATTACCCCTTCTCACCACATACAAAATTCCCTGTTTTCTTTCATATATCTATTAAAATACTATTTACTACATTATTGTGTTTCCGAGATATGCAACCGATTAGGCTGCTTAATTTTTAGAATATTTTAATCGCATTCTGGTGTTTCTAAGACTCTTGACCTTTGAGTGTGACCTCCCGTTGCAGATGATGAGCCTGAACGCCGACGTGATGCCGCAGTACCGCCAGGAAGCGCCCAAAACGCCGCCGCATATCCTCCTGCACTACTGCGCCTTCAAGGCCATCTGGGACTGGGTGATCCTGTGCCTCACCTTCTACACCGCCATCATGGTCCCCTACAACGTCGCCTTCAAGAACAAGACGTCTGAAGATGTGTCCTTGCTAGTGGTGGGTATATGGAATGGATTTACAGACGACGAGATTTTACTTTCTTTCTCTTCCCTTTGGATGTGGTAGAGAGGCAAGTCAAGATGTGTCCTTGCGAGAGCATTTGGAAAAAAAATTCAGATGAATGTTCACTTTATTTTACTTCTCTTTGGATGTGATAGATATTTTCAAGCGCCATAAATGTTATGGTAGAGTAATCTACGTTGTTCCGCAGTTCATTCCAGGCCGTGATTGCCCTGCTCTGACTATACTAATTTATTGATTATATTTCATTCCACGCCCAATTTATCGTTCACCATAGTGAATTGCGTTTTTAGACACCACCATTGTGGGTGTTATCATTCTAATTGACATTATGGGTGATCTGGGCTGTCCGGGTGACGCCGCGCCGAAGGCTGAGTTGCCGACGTTTCGACCATCCTGTCTTCCTCAGGGCTGGTATGCCGCATACTGTCTATTTACAACTACCTAACGTCAGAAGCTCTGTCACCGGGTGAGCTTCATCTTAGACCTGATTTTTATTGAACCGTTCACACGACTGTCGAGGCGATCAGTGCAAGGAGATGATGTCAGATCTCAAGATGACCCGTATATTCTCATCTAAATATGATTTCCTAAATACGATTCCTATTTCACGATCTTGTTCATATTTGACGTTTCTTATCATCAGTTGGGATAATCAGTTTCTGACTGTCGCCAAATTTTAATTAACTTCTATTGTCCAAGATATTTATACAAATTGATTCTTCACTACCATTTCCCATGAATAACAATGTTCTAACATAGCTTGTTTCGTGTTGTTGAGCATTTTGACGTCATCCTCTACTTACACATCGTGTCTTCGCAACTAGGAGTTATATCTCAATTTGAACAACATTAACTTGAAATAATTATAAGAGTCATTATTACCAACAATATTGTTTATTATGATTCGGTAGTCACATTGTGGCCTCCATACAGCATAAAACTGATAATGATGAGAAGCCATCGAAAGCTGCTCTTGTAATAAACAATATTGTTGGGAATGACGACTCAAATAATGATTTAATTGTAAATGCCAACGAAAACTAACTACAATCACCACAACATTAACTTCATCACGTGATAAATCTACAGTTCCTTTGCGAGATGTTAGCGAGATCATCGTGAGAGTCAGTGACTTGTTAGTTCATCATCAACAATTCTCATTTTCAGTTGGAATAATCAGTTTCTGATTGTCGAAAATTTTATACTTACTTCTATTAGGAAGAATGTTCAATGTTCATACAAAATAAATCTTCACTACCATTCACCATGAACGAATTTTTCCTAAAATACATTGTTTCGTGTTACTGGAATATTTTGTCAGTCGTTTTGGTTTGGTCGTTCGTTGTCTTCGTACTCCCCTGCGCCGCCCCCCGCTTTCCACCGCCTACAAACGCTTTGTCACCCATCCACCGCCCATTCATAACTATTAATCATCAGCAACTCTGTCGTCAGGTGGACTCGATCGTGGACGTGATTTTCTTCATCGACATCGTGCTCAACTTCCACACGACGTTCGTGGGGCCCGGCGGGGAGGTGGTGTCGGACCCCAAGGTCATCCGCATGAACTACCTCAAGAGCTGGTTCATCATCGACCTGCTGTCGTGCCTGCCCTACGACGTCTTCAACGCCTTCGACCACGACGAGGACGTAAGTAACGGAAGCGGCGTCGCCGGCGGAGGCGGAGGCGGCGGCGGCGGCGGGCGCGGAGACTGTACGGCCGTCGCGGCGGCCGTGTCCAGCGCCGACGCCGCGGCCGACGCCTTCGGGGACAACGTGAGTACCCGCGGACGAACACCCTGCCCCCGCTCGGCGGGCACGTGCCTCACGCGTGGAACACCCAGTGAGGGGGGGACAGGGAGAACTCCACGTCTGGTGAGGATGATTTGGAAAATAAAATCTACTCGCGAGATAATTATGTTCAAATAATGGTTTAATAAAATATTATAACATTATTATATATATATA